ATGTAATACATGTGGGTAATAAATGGTTGATAATTACAAATTAGTAAAAATAAGTGAAGTAATAAGTATTTTATTTTTTCCCACAATACATGTTTCTAAGGTGATGTACTGAAAATTTGCGTGATAGATTTTTGTAAGGGAGAGGTAAAAGTGGGATTAACAATCCTTTTTAATACAGTTATTATATCGTGGTTGACATTTCACCCTATTCTGTCCAATTTTCTCAATAGCTTTGCGTTCCTCAATGAACATGCAATTTGAAGATGGTATATTCATCAAAGATTACATCAGGATTATGGCGTATATGATCGTGCTGTGTTTCACACTGGCGATTTCATTATCGTTTTGGGTCCTGTCCATAACTGCCAGCACATATTATGGTGAGAGTTCACTTTCTGAGTCTATGGAGTTACTTAGTCGTATATGAATACATAAGGGCTGTGTGTGAAACCAGCCTTATTGCCCAGTCAGTCAGTGTATGTGTATGAAGGGGCCTCCTCTGGAAACTGGTTTCAGACAGGCTTCTAATGAAAGCAAATTTAAATGAACTTAATAAATAACCAAGGAAATATTTTGAGATTACTATACTTATTTAAAAAAAAAGGTGGCATCAAAAAATTGTGGTATAAGATGTGTCGCAAAAAACTGACATAAATTGATAAAAATGTATTTATACATTTGTATATATACACACATTGTGTGTCCTTGCAGCTTTCAGACATAGCCATGATGTCCCAATACATAAAAATGTGGCTATTTATTATTTATTGTGTGTTACTGTGCACATACAGGCACACTTTTAACAACTTTAGATTTACTTACTAAAGAAGAAAATTGAAAACTGTAGTAAAAGTATATTGAGTTTATTGTGACAAATATCATGACAACAAAGTTTGTATTACAAATGTGTATTACAAAGATTTTGTTTAAATGTAATAATTACAGTGCATGTTTATACAAGGTGCACTGAGTGCAAAATCATCATTTGAACCATTTGAATAATTGTGCATTTTTTCATTTAAGTTATTGGATTTGAAAGCAAATTGAAATTGTAAACAGCATGGGTTCCCATATTCCTATAAAAATGTCATTTACAAGCCTGGAAAAGTCACGTTAATTAACAACATTTTAAGTTAATGTAAAAGTCATAGGATTCTGACTTTTCATATCCAGTTCATTCCATATAAAATGCTGTTTTGCAGGTACTCTGCAGCCAGTATCTCCATGGCGGTGGCTGCTTTCAGTGCTTATCCCTCTTTTCATCACATTTCGAGCCTTTAAACGTAGGAATCTTGATCATGGTGGTGCCATAGGAGGTGAGGAATATATTTTGAAGTTGAGATGGACTTGTGGGTCATTTTAATGTCACATCAATATTTGTTATAGGCAGGGTTGGGGAGTAACGGAATACATGTAACGGCGTTACGTAATCAGGATACAAAAATCTAGTAACTGTAATCCGTTACAGTTACATCAAAAAACAAAAGTATTCAGATTACAGTAAAATTTTGTAAAAAGTGGGAATACTATCAGGATTACATTTGTTTAATTTAAAATGAAATAAATGAGTATTTTGACATAACGCTATTTAGCGCTGTTTCATCATAGTTCCTGGTAGAGCCCTGCACGGGCCTCAAATATAGTACCTAGCCCGGCCCGTGTCCGACAGCTTATCAGTATTACCGGCCCGAGCCCGTCTTTTTTCCCCTATTCCCAAAACAGCTTACTGTTTCAGCTATTGAAATAGTTCAGTTTTGTATGCAATGGCAAAGTGATTAGGCTATATTTCGTTTAGTTTTTTATTAAGTTAATGTTTAAGAAAAACATTTGGAGAAGTTTTTGTTTTTTAAAGTAACGACCAAGCGGCCAGCGGCAGACAGTGAGCCTATGTTTGATCAATTTAGCCTTCTCAAATCATCACGACTTGCCTAAAAGAAAATCTATAGATATAAAACAGTTCAAGCATATAACAATGTTTAAACGTTAAATGTGCACTATATCCAATAGTTTGTGCGGAGAGTGGAAGCTAAAGCGCGCTTTGCTGGACATTGAGGCGCCAGCGCAATCACTTGCATTTTTTCAGTGGATACGCCGTCATTTTTGCTCATAAAAGTAAGAGTAATCCATCATTCGGAACTGTAAAGGGTCTACTTTTATTTGTGTGCACTCACAATATCAACAAAACGTTGTGCTTTTATAAAATAAACGTTACTGAATACTTTTTAATGAAGTAATTTGTAACTGTAACGGAATACATTTTAAAAGTAACCCTCCCAACCCTGGTTATAGGTTGTAATGGGATAATCTACCATAATATGTCCCAAAGCAGCTCTTAAAAAACCAAAAACAAAACCCTCAACAATCTAAACCAGCGTTTCCCAGCCCTGTTCCTGGAGACACACCAATAGTACACATTTTCAAGCTTTTCCTAATCAAACACTCCTGATTCCACTCATCAGCTCATTACTAGAGGCTCCAAGACCTGAAAAGATAAAAAAGACATCCAAAATGTGTACTGTTGGTGTGCCTCCAGGAACAGGGTTGGGAAAAGCTGATCTAAACTAATTAATCCTAACCAAATACACAGCAGATTATGGCATTAATTAAACACCCTGAACAAAACCGTCCATTATCATTATCTACAAAAAGTACATAGGAAATCAGGAAAAAATCAGACAAAATAAAATGATTGTATATGACAAATGCACTATACATCTTCAGCTCTTAAAAGATTACTTGAGGAGGAACACTTTTTGCACTTGTAAAAATAAAAGAAGATTGCTAGTATCTCAGCATGTAATCCTTTTTTGGATACATAATGAATTTCAAGTATTGAGTTTTCTTTACTCTTTTTGGAGGAATTTACTTGAGGAGGATACCAATCCATTTTTTAAGAAGCACCGATCTTGGAAAAACAAATCCTTCCACATTTAAGGAAAGCAACCATCTCAGCCATTCATGAAAGCTAGGTGCATTTCCATTCCATCAACAGTTTGACAGTTGACAATGCGGCAATGCAATTGTCAGATCAAAAGTCCAAAAAGAGTGAAATCAACATGAGGATGCATATCCAATTTGTGTGAATAACACAAGAATATGTTCTACCAAAATTCAGACAAGTCAGGGCAAAACCAAAAAGCGTGGACACAAATCTCCTCTAGGCTCTTGCATCAATCTCAAAATAGAGATACACACCAGACGAGAAACACCACGCAGTGTCACATCACAGCTAGGACAACTCACAGATCTCACACACTGGACATGCCACGTTCAATTCAAGGCGGCAGTCCAAAACAGTTAATCTAATCACCAAACAGGCAAAAGTTTACTTCAAGAATGAGTCTGAAGTTAGGTGTTTGAAAAAACGGCAAATATAAAGAGAAAGGGTGCTCTATATTATTATTATATAGTTCGCTAGATGATGCATACAGACTTTATTTAAGCCACAGAAAGAAAACATTTTGCTGACAAATAAACAATACAACATTTTTGCTGGCCTAAAGTCATTTGGGACAAATATTATGTAATTTAATGAAAAACTATGTGAGTGGTGCTCTGTGGCGCAGCAGGAATTTGCACAGCCTTCGTAGTTCAGCGCCACTGATGTGCTTACACTCATGGAAAACAATGAAGACGTGGCCTTAAACACCAAACCTCAGATTCATCAACTTTATTAATTCATCAGCTGTGGACTGTACTGATGATATTGTGACTAGATTAATAAATTGCAAATTAACAAATCTTCATCTCTTTGCAGCGATGCTGGTTGGCTTTGTTCTTACCATGGCCAACATGAGCTTTTTTGGAGCTTTGTTCACCTTTTTTGTCACATCCAGCAAACTAACCAAATGGAAGGGAGACATCAAAAAACAAATTGACTCAGATTATAAAGAAGGTATGTGAGGTTCTTTACTGAACCCTTCTGATATTTGGTTATTTTTTTCTAATTTTTATGGGTTCGTTTTGTATAGTCAAAAAATCTCTATTTTCGTTGCTTGTCTTGTTTTCATAAATACACTGGTTTTTAATGCAAATAGTTTACCGTTTTTGTTATTCTTCTAGTTATTTACTAATATGGGCAAATTAATAATAAGTATTGGTGTGACTCTTAGACTGGGTAGACAGACAAGATTCGATTCATGATTCATAGGTTTTCAATTCATGAATGATTTTTGTGAATTCAGAACAATTCACAATGAAATTAAATCCAATTTCAATTAATTCTATTCTTAATTTCAAGTTCATTAAGTTCATTACTAGGATTATTCACAGTGACCTTCCAACCTGTAAAATAGAAAAATGGTGTGTGTAGAAATATATACCATTAAGCTTTACTTAAGCCAAGATTTAAAAAAAAATGTTTTAAAAGTATTAGTTCTATTTTGCAGGCTGCCTTTTAAAATGATTTTGTACTGTTCTCTGAGGGCCACTTATACACTGTAAAAAATGGTAAATGACTGGCAGATTCTTTTATAGATTTTTCCTTGTTTCAATTATGATAATTTACTTTAGTTTTTACAGTTTTTGTTGCTGCCAGTCATTTGACCATTTTTTGGACTTTTTTTTACAGTGTAAAACCCTTATTTTACAGATTTTTCCTAGATTATTACAATGAAAGCACTAAATGTTCTACAGAGAAACACTGTTATTTTACAAATCATTACAATCAAAAACCTTCAATAAAGTGTCAAAGCATGCTCAAGATGGAAAATTACGTTTTATTTGGAAAACAAAATACAAAGTCTGTACAAATGCCATATCAAATTTAAATTTTACATTTCAGTTTTTTTTTTAAGAAATACAGCACAATTACATTTAAAATACTGTACTGATGGAAGAACATAGAACAGTTTCATCAAAATGTCGAATTAAATATATTCAACTTAAAGGACAAGTTCACTTCCAGAACGAATATTTCCTGATAATGTACTCACCCCATGTAATCCAAGATGTTCATATCTTTCTTTACTCAGTCAAAAAAGAATGAAAGTTTCTGAGGAAAACATTCCTGGAGAAAAATCCTGGAATGTTTTCCTCAAAAACCTAAAAAAAAATTTGGACAGAAAAAAGAAAGACATGAACATCTTCGGTAAATTATCAGGAAATGTTTATTCTGGAACTGAACTAGTCCTTTAAAACTGAAGAAATACAAAACAGATGTGTCTACAAGATTGATTCTAAAAGTTTTATTATTCAGATGTAAATTTGCATTAATGAATTCTTCATAAACAGTTCTTCAGAACCCCCAGGAGGAATTCAATAACTAAAAATTGCATTTCTATCTTATCAGTTAGGGTTACTCTCTTGATGAGGTCAATAAGAAATACAGCACAATTACATTTAAAATACTGTACTGATGGAAGAACATAGAACAGTTTCATCAAAATGTCGAATTAAATATATTCAACTTAAAGGACAAGTTCACTTCCAGAACGAATATTTCCTGATAATGTACTCACCCCATGTAATCCAAGATGTTCATATCTTTCTTTACTCAGTCAAAAAAGAATTAACGTTTCTGAGGAAAACATTCCTGGAGAAAAATCCTGGAATGTTTTCCTCAAAAGCCTAAATTTTCTTTTGGACAGAAAAAAGAAAGACATGAACATCTTGGATGACATGGGGTTGAGTAAATTATCAGGACATTTTTATTCTGGAACTGAACTAGTCCTTTAAAACTGAAGAAATACAAAACCGATATGTCTACAAGATTGTCAAGATTGATTCTAAAAGTTTTATTATTCAGATGTAAATTTGCATTATCAATGAATTCTTCAGAAACAGTTCTTCAGAACCCCCAGGAGGAATTCAATAACTAAAAATTGCATTTCTATCTTATCAGTTAGGGTTACTCTCTTGATGAGGTCAATTTTACTTTTGAGAGAAAGAAACAATTTGTGCTGTTTGCTGATAGCTTTGTATCTTGTATTTTCCACATAAATTTTATATTAATCCACAATATTCTACTGATTTATGTGGGCTCCATATACAGTGGTGTCCAAAATGATTAGAACACTAGTATTATTTGCATTAATGAATTCTTCATAAACAGTTCTTCAGAACCCCCAGGAGGAATTCAATAACTAAAAATTGCATTTCTATCTTATCAGTTAGGGTTACTCTCTTGATGAGGTCAATTTTACTTTTGAGAGAAAGAAACAATTTGTGCTGTTTGCTGATAGCTTTGTATCTTGTATTTTCCACATAAGTTTTATATTAATCCACAATATTCTACTGACTGCTGTGGGCTCCATATACAGTGGTGTCCAAAATGATTAGAACGCTAGTATTTTCAGCAGCTAAAAAATGGTTTTACGTCAATTATTTCTATCTTTTGCTGTAATGTGTCAGTAGGAAATATCAGTTCATAACATTCATTTTGCCATTAATTGTAATAATCCAGTGAGATTTTTGTCTGACAGCAGCCAGTGCTGCACACAGAGATCTGATCTGATCATCATCAGTCTGTCTGGAATGACATGAAGAAACAGAACAAACTGAGACAGACTCAATCCAGAAGAACTGTGGCAGCGTCTTCGAGATGCTTCAAGAAACCTACCTGCAAAGCTACCTGAATAACTATGCCCAAGTGCACCGAGGGCAAAAGCTGCTTTAAACGCAAAGGATGCTTACACCAAATGTTGATTTAATTTAATTAACAGAAGTTAATTGATAAAGAAAATTTATTTATGGGACATTATTTTTGACAGCATTCCCATTTTACAGAATTTTTACACAAGTGCCTAAAACTTTTAACAGCACTGTAGCTTCGCAGGTAGGTTTCTTGAAGCGTCTCGGAGACGCTGCCACAGTTCTTAGGGATTGAGTCTGTCTCAGTTTGTTCTGTTTCTTCATGTCATTCCAGACAGACTGATGATGATCAGATCAGATCTCTGTATGCAGCACTGGCTGCTGTCAGACAAAAATCTCACTGGATTATTACAATTAATGGCAAAATGAATGTTATATATATAATATAGAATAGTATAGTATAGTATAGTATAGGGGAAGTCGTGGCCTAATGGTTAGAGAGTCTCGTACTGGCAGGGATTGTAGGGGGGTGGAGCAAAGGTTGCGGGTTCGAGTCTCGTACTGGCAGGGATTGTAGGTGGGGGGAGTGAATGTACAGCGCTCTCTCCCACCTTCAATACCATGACTGAGGTGCGCTTGAGCAAGGCACCGAACCCCCAACTGCTCTCCGGGCACCCCAGCAAAAAAAATGGCTGCCCACTGCTCCGGGCGTCTGTTCACGGCGTGTGTGTGTGTGTGTGTGCACTTTGGATGGGTTAAATGCAGAGCACTAATTCCAAGTATGGGTCACCAAAATTTTATTAGCCAATGGCGATTCAATTGCCAAGGTGTCCATAGAGGGTTGAGAAGTCTATGTCCATATTCGCGTTTATTTGTTCTCAATCGTCATCCCACTACCTAAACTCGCTCAAAATATGAATTAAACAGTCAAATGTTAAATAATCCATGTAAAAGCCATTACTAGTGAACCGACTGAAGCAGACTGCTGCAGACGCCGATCAGCGGCACACACTGCAACAGTGTTTTTTCAAATTTAACCGTGAAAACGGCACACTCACTAGTCATTGGCTAGATTCCTGAGTGATGGTCAGATTAACCAATCATGCTCAAAGCAACACTGCGAGACCGCAAATAGCGTTGCAACTATGAAAAAAATAAATAATAACTTGTTTTAAGTGAAAGATTACAAATGTGTCTATTTATTTTTATTTGTAGGCTGTTTAATTAATTGTTCAAATGTTGATTTCACATTATGCTTTAGGTGCATCTGTGCTATTCACTGTTCACCACCCCTCATTTCCCTCTGATTTTAGGGTTAAATTAGGTTTAGGGCCAGAGGGACTATATTTTCAGACAGGATCAATAAAATATGCTGATTCAGGAACAGGTCTTACTTGTCAAAATCATGGCAGTTGTGTGTGTGTACCTTGTATTTATCACATGATGGGGACCAAATGTCCCCACAAGGATAGGTCCCCATGAGGAAACAAGCTTATAAATAATAAAGAATGAAGTTTTTTGAAAATCTAAAACTGCATAAAGTTTCCTGTGATGGGTAGGTTTAGGTGTAGGGTTGGTGTATAAGCGATAGAAAATGCAGTTTGTACAGTATAAAAACCATTACGCCTATGGAATGTCCCCATAAAACATGGAAACACAACATGTGTGTGTGTGTGTGCGTGTTTGGCTACTTGTGCAGTTATATTGACATGACCAAATAAGCACCCTTTTGTATTTTAACAAATCCATGATCTTTCCTTTAAGCACCAGTTGCGTAGCTATGGCATTTTCATTTGGCCCTTCAGTGTTACACAGCCCGTTGGTTAATCCTCTGTCCACCATAACACTTATTTAAAAATAATGCCATAATTGCATGCAAGTTACAAAATTTGTCTACATACTTTTATTTAATAGCATAGAAATTGCAAGCTTGACTGCAGTAGGACTTTATAGCATTTGTGATATGAGACAATGTAAACTGAAAATGTTGAACTTCTCACCATAGAAAGTGAAAGTCTGTTTTTTAGTTATTCAAACATAAAGACAATGTATAGGTTGGCCCTAAGAGCAATGTTCCATCATGAACATTGTTGCCCTTCCCACATAGCAATCGATCTTGGCCCAAATGTGGCCTCAAGCTGGAACTGCTGGCCTTCTGTCGGCAATGGCAGGTACCCTTTCAGCCAGAGCTAGGCCATGTGTGGAGATGGCACATCATGGATCACGGCAAACATGAGGGCCGATTGCTGGTGGGAGGAGTGTGGCCCAGATCAGTCCAGTGATTATGTGGCCCAAATCAGGCTTGTGATCTGACAGCATATTATGTGACCCATGATAAACAAGATAAATAAAATATTGCATGAT